AGCAGTTCTTTTGCAAAATCACATGAATAGTCCTAAATACATTATAATACATTTATTTTTTAAATAGTACCCATTTCCATATGTTTTGTGTGGGTAGTAGATAAACATAGGGCTATCATCTATGGGCCCTGCCTGTTACTGTTTCCTCTGCCATCGCGTGAAGGTCTGCTAACAAGCGACCAACAGAAAGCGCTTAATGTTGTTGACTGCACGTCACCGTCAACGTCGCGCCCCTCTCCCGCGCTACCACCACCCCCCCCCAAGTATATCATAGAGTTGCGTTCCCATCACCACAGGCGTTGGAGCTGTCTTCATGAAAAACCAGAAGGATGAAGTGCTCTGACAAACAAGTGCCATCTTTGTGCAAATGATTATACAGGATGAACAGTCAATAAATAAACATGTTGTTAAAACTCTCACGTTTTTTTTTATACTTATATAATTATTATTATATTATTTTCCACCATCATTTGCAAATCAATTCTTTAAAAATCAGACAATGTGATTTTCTGGATTTTCTTTCCTCATTTGGTCTCTCATAGTTGAGGTATACCTAGGATGAAAATTACAGGCCTCTCTCATCTTTTTAAGTGGAAGAACTTGCACAATTGGAGGCTGACTAAATACTTTTTTGCCCCACTGTACATACATCATTGTTCAGCAGGATCATCCATTTTTAGAAGTAAAATGTAACATTAGGCTAAAAACACTAAACATGGTCACATTGCTGGGCATCAACACCACTAAGCTAAAGACGGCTAATGTTCAAAATCATGATGTTTAGCAGTCTCATTTTGACAAATGCTGTATTAATTACACATAGAAGCTTGAGACATTACCATTGGGTGTTTACTGACGTGTTTCATGTTGAAGAACAAAACATGAAAATATTTTTAGCTTGTGTGAACCACAGACTTTATTTTAGGTATCTAATGGAGGAAACTGTACATGTAGGTGGTTAAATGCTGACTCATTCCTGTTTTAGCACTCATTATTGCATTGCAGTGGATGATAGGATGTGATAGAACCACTTCAAAGCTATATGCAGGTGTTAGCAACCAGTGGCCTGTGTTCACATGAGTCCACTTGCAGCAGCATTAGCATCTGAAATTGTGTTGCTGGACACCTGGCGAATTTAAGCCCAGTGTTTACTCTCCTTCAGCTCTTTTTTAAATATGTGCTAACAACATCTGTCTCTGAGCTGCTAGAGGCTTCCATGTGTTCACCAGCTAGTCTCTGTGTGCTGTTTGCTGTTGGTAGGTAGTGTGCACTGGGTTTTCAGAGCCTTTTCAGTGAAAACTGCTGCCTGCTGTGGCTGAAACTAGCTATTGATGAAAGCGTGAATGTGAAACAGTAAAGGCAAAGAATGAGTTACTGTAAAATTAACTCTTAGAGAAAGGCCGTACCTTTATTGTAGTGCTGGAATGAAACCTCCATGTAAATGAGCGATCATGATTGCACAGTTGAGCAAGGTAGTTGAGTTGTCGATTGCAATGCTGGTCACCAGATAATATATGCAGAATATCTGGAGCATTTTAGTGTGTATGACATTCAATCTAATCTAATACATTTCTAGTTTATAGACACACTGAGGTTATGTGTTCCTTAGCCTTTACTCTTTAAAACCATGACTGATATGTTCTTACCCAAATGATGTAAGGATGTCATCTTTGTAGGGATATATTGGTTAAAAAAGGTGTATTTTAATTGTTAATTAACATCTGCTTACATGTCTGGGGTTCCTTGCTTGATGTGTTCAAAATCAGCCACTTGTAATTGTGTTTATTTTAATAAATAGGAAAGAAAGGACCTTTATACAGTATTAGTTTATGTGTACAAAATAACTATTTAATTTATATTCCTGAGTCACCCTACTGTCTTCTCTGCTGTATTGTTATTTCACCCTGTAGTAGAACCTGCTCCTAAAAAAGCTTAAATAGTATTTTTATCCTAAATCAGGCTGATGGCAATGCATGGCCCCCTGGAGCTCTACCAGAGGATGGAGACAAATGTGTATTTAACCCCACTCATGTGACCGCCCCCCAGCATACTGCCAGCAGGGAGGGACCCGGATAGTTATTTGCAACAGACACCATTACATTACACTGGTCTCATCAGAGAGTGTTGGATGTGTTGTAATTGAGAGTTCAAAAGAAAGTGGTGATGATTAGTTAGAGAGTCAGAATGTCCTCTTCTTAACCTGTGTGCAGATAGTGTCGTGATGCAACATGCTATGGCGGTCATACTGCCCAATGTTAAAGTAGCATTAAAGGCAGGGGTTAAAATGGGCCGAGCTGGCACAAAGACCCATGCTCTTACTTCATTGACCTTGCACATCTTCAATAATGTCTTTGCTTTATATATAACGTCTATTTGTTTAAAAAAAAAATGTGTCCGCTCATATCCTCAGTGCTTCACAGAGCGGCTCCCCTCAGGGCGAGGGGCCTGTGGCGATGTCTGTAAACCACCTGACCCTTATTTTAACACGCAGCCCGTCTCGTTATCCATGCTTTTAGGATGTGTGCTTTATGCTGGGTAATGATCCTTTATATCCACCAAAGAATTGATGATACGTGTATGTTTTCAAGAGCTCTTCTTTGTCTATCCTCGTAACGTAGCCTCTTAATTTTGTTCTCAAAGTGCACCAGATTAGAGCATTTCAATTGAAATTGTAAAATTGAAAGTTGAATTATTCCTGTGATTTTTAATGTTGCGAAACACATTGCAACAAAATGAATATTGACATGTCCATTTTTTCTTCTATGGTTCAGCCGTCGTTTGTACTTTAGCAAGATTGTAGAACAACATGGGAGTGAAAGCAATGCTCCATTTATTTCATTGTGAATTAGCAATAAAATGTATATTTGGCTCTTGCACAATAAATAATTGTGATCAAATCATGATCTCAATAATGATCAACGTAATCATAATTTTGGCTCTTAACTTCATGTGTGTTCAATGAGTTCACATGTAGTTGCTCTTTAAGTGTGTGTATATTGTATACGTATAAGATGTAAAGGAATTCCAGTCTAATTTAATGTTGAAAAAGCCTCTAAATGATGAGATTCATTCAAAATGATTCCCCTTACCCCTGATTGTACGCATATGGTTGCTGTGTTAACATTGGTATCATGTGATATGTGTTCCACAGGAGCTGAGGGAGCGTGTTCTGAGGGGGAAGTACCGCGTTCCCTTCTACATGTCCACAGACTGCGAGGGGATCCTCCGCCGGTTCCTGGTGCTCAGCCCCTCCAAACGCTGCACCCTAGACGTGAGTACACTCTGCACAGAAGCTGTAGCTTAGCTCATTTTAGACACAATTGAATTTTCTCTGTGTTTCTGTTGTACAGCAAGTCATGAAGGACAAGTGGATTAATGCAGGGTATGAGGGGGAAGACCTGAAACCCCACATAGAACCTGTGGAAGATTTCAGTGACGCAGCTCGCATAGGTGAGTCCGCTGCTTCACCCAGAAACCTTCTCCACCACACAGCTGATTCAGGGGGGAGCAATGGAGTACATGTAACGTCATTATACATCAAAACAAAAGGAACTTGTAACCTGTACGGATAACTTTGAATAATTAATCAAAAGTCATTGTTTTTCAAAATGGGGTTAACTAGCAGGTTTACAGAGTTACAATACATCGTTATAGGAACATTATATTACAAAGCACATGCAGACACACTACAGCTTAATGAGTCTCACAATATTAAGTGAAAAAAGTCTTCAGGGGTTCTTTCTTTCTTTTATTTTAAATTACGTATTTTTTTAAATCCAGTAGGTAAAGACCAGATTTGTTAAAGAATATACTGTTGTTTTTCCATGAATTAAACTAGTACATAACAGCATAAGGAAACTAAAGCCTGGCTAAATCTGGAATCCTGACGGTACGTCCACACGGCAGCGTTGCGTGCTTCAACGGAGAACTGCATTGTGGTTCCGTTGCGTCGCTTTGCCTCTGTTGCTCGCTTCGAAAGTTGAGAAAAGTTCAACTTTTCAAGCGTCGACGGAAGCGTCAGCCAATCAAATCATATGCCAGTACAAGCTCTAGCCAATCAAACCGCGTGCGTGTGTGTCCGGGGCGGGAGATTAATGTGATTGGTTGTTGGTCGCACGCCAGACACGCCCACCGGCAAGCTTCAATGCGACGCTGCCGTGTGGACGTACCGTGAGGCCTGTATAACTCCTGTAACGGCTGGTTTTATCTTGGCTTTAATAGTTCAGTAGGTGGAGACCTGATTTGTGATTTCTCTTATTCCATATAGTTTAGTAAGACCATATTCTGTCTCTTGGAGAAGGAGCAGATTTGAGATATTCTTTGTACGCTGTGATGTTCTGTAGGTGCTGCAGCACAAGCAGTATGAGAAAAATACCTTTTTGAATATTAAAGCATGGAGAAATGTCACAGTAGCAGCACAAAGTACAAATATGAACCTTAAAATCAGCATGTTTAAGGTTTAAAGTAAAGCTCCCAACCCTGCTGGTCAAACTAGTCATTAACAGATGTTTGTATGAATGGCTCTAACCTTTTCTCTTTGTGTTCCTCAGAGGTGATGGTGGGGATGGGCTTCACTCCAGAGGAGATCAAGGACGCTCTGCTTAATCAAAAATACAATGAAGTCACTGCCACCTACCTACTACTGGGACGCAAAGGCGATGTGAGTCACATATATCTACCAAATGTTATCTTTTTCTTACACAATGATATGCTGATATGATAAGATGCAGTACTGTAGTGCTACTATCAACCATTATTTGTTCTCTTACCATCGATGGCTCCATTGTCAACCCCTCCACTCACATCCGTAACCTTGGCATCATCCTTGACCCCACCCTCACTTTCCTCCCTCATGTCAACCAGGTCACAAAAAACGCATTCTTCCATTTAAAGAACATCGCCCGCATCAGACCCTCCCTCTCATCGACAACTGCTGAAACTCTGATCCATGCCTTCATTACATCCCGACTGGATTACTGCAACAGCATACTTTTTGGATCACCTGCATTCACACTAAAAAAACTTCAATATGTCCAAAACTCAGCTGCCCGCTTGCTCACCTCCAGCCGACGCTCCGACCACATCACCCCTATCCTCCATGACCTCCACTTGCTCCCCATCAAACACCGCATTGACTTTAAAATATAACTTTTCACTTTCAAAGCCCTCAACAACCTTGCCCCCCCCTACCTCTGTGAACTCATCCAACGACACACCCCCATCGGAGGCGATGGGGGTGTGTCGTTGGATGAGTTCACAGAGGTAGGGGGGGGCAAGGTTGTTGAGGGCTTTGAAAGTGAAAAGTTATATTTTAAAGTCAATGCGGTGNGGGGACTCCGGACTCGGTAAAGGAATTCTAGTGTGTAAAAACTTATAGGATCGAAACCGGGTTTTTGCCCGGTAAATGCTCTACGGTAAATTGATAACTTACAGTCCGGTCATCAAGGTATTTCAACGAGTCTACAAGGTGCCTTTCACCATGCGTGTTACGAGCATAAGTAACGCATACCATGTATTAAAGTTAAAATGAGAATCATCGGATTGGGGGGGCCTTCACATTATAAAAAGTCAATTTTCCGTGGTTGTCATGTAATTCTGGATATGATGACGATCACCTCGATTATGAGACTGGAGAAAAGTTGTATGCAATGCTTAGAAACTCAGTAGTTTTTTCTTAACCACGTCCGAAGCGAAGCAAAGTCATAGGAAGGAAGTGTAAGATTTAGAAAATGAGACAAGGAAAGAGAGCTAGGCTCAGAGGAGAGAGACAGAGTCAGAGATCACAGATGCGGGACGGGTGGGTGAGCACCACACAAAACATTGTGAAACGAGTGGGACAGTCGACGTCCTGCGAGAAAGAGGCACAGAAGAAAACAAAAGACAGTCTTCGAACTTCTCAGTAGACGGTACTCAAAACAAATGTGTCAACCTGAAAGACATGTAAAAGTTGGGGTCATCGGTCAGCAGACGTCGACCGGCTAAATTCAGGATAGTACGTTTTACGTGATAAAACTATAGAAAATTGTCTTTGCACACAGGACTACACATCCCTGAGGTGTTCACGTCTTTTATTTGGAACGAGAGAAGAAGCGAGGCATGGGTTTAGAGATTTTTGCCCCCATAGTTGCTCGCTAGCTCTAAACGCAGGCTATCACTGCATTATAGTCTTTACACCTGGTGCCGGGTTAGTCTTTGTTACGCCTGCACAAAACCTGCATTTATACAGCCACAAATGTAATCGTAGCGATTTGTGAGTCGCGATCGGAGCATGCCTCTCGTAACACCTGTCTTCGTCCTTATTTTTCCTGAGTGGGAACACATATTGGCGTTCTCTCTTTCGAAACTCGAGGTATACAAAGTCTTTATTAGGGAAACTTCCCAACCTGTACTATACCGCAAATTAGTCCCACGAGTTTTCACCCGCCCCAGCGTCTCTAGTCGGTCACAGAGATTGCCCGGACTTGTCTCAGTATATAATACCCATAGTCTATATTATATATATTTTTGTTACAGGTATACTACTAAAAACGAGGTTTTATAGGTTCGTGTCTAGTACGTAAAATCTGTAGGGAGTATAGGGAGACAAGTCGGGGCAATCCTTACCGACTAAGAGACGACCTGGCGGGTGTAAACTCGTGTGACTAATTTGCGTATAGTAACACAGTTTGGTGAAAGTTCCTAATAAAGACTTTGCATACTCGAGTCGAAAGAGAGAACGGCCAATATGTGTTCCCTCAAGGAAAAATGAAGGACGAAGAAGTGTGTGTACGAAGGTCATGTCCGATCGCGACTCACAAATTCGCTACGATTACTTTGTGGCTGGTTAATAGTGCAGGTTTGTGCAGGCGTAACAAAGACTACCCCGGGGGGCGGGGGGGGCAGGCGGGGCTAGGGGCCGGGCGGGGGTAGGGCACCCAGGTGTAAAGCACTATAAATCAGTATAGCCTGCGTTTAAGACCTAGTCTACGGCACATTGGGGGCAAAAATCTCTAACCATGCCTCCTTTCTCTCTTCCAAAATAAAAGACTGTGCCCACCACCCTCCACGGCCGCCCTCGTCGTAGCCCTGTGTTGCAAAGACATAATTTTCTATAGTTTTCCTAAACGTACTATCCTCTGGAATTTAAGCCGGTGACGTTGCTGACCGTGACCAACTTTTCGATGTCTTTCGCGTCTGCACGTTTGTTTTGATACGTCTATCTGGAGAAGGTTCGACAAAGACTGTTTGTCTTCTGTGCCTCTTTCCTTCGTCAGGGGACGTCGCTTGTCCCACTACGTTTCCACAATGTTGTGTGGTTGCTCAACCCACCCGTCCCGCTCTGTGTCTCCTCTCTGTCTCTCCTCTCTGCTACTCTCTTTTCCTTGTCCTTTTTCTAATTCTTCCTTCCTGTCTATGACTTGGCTTCGCTTCGGCGTGTTAAGAAAAAACTACTTGAGTTTCAAAGCATTTCATACAACTTTTCTTCCGTCTCATCATGGTAACGTCTCATTAGTCAGAATGACATGACCACCACCGAATAACTTTTATATGTGAAGGCCCCCCAATCCGCTGATTTTCTTTTAATCTATCATGGTTACTTAGTCTCGTAACACGCATGGTGAAAGCACCTGTAGACCGTTCGAAATACCTGATGACCGGACTGTAAGGTTATCATATATCCCGTAGGGGAAGGCCCATTTACCGGGCAAAACCCGTTTCGAATCCATAGTTTTAACACCATAGAAATTCCTTTTACCGGTCCCCATTTATTAAACCATGTTTTGTTATGTAATGATCGTAAAAGGCTCGATCCCGGGACAACTTTATTAGATATAATTAAATGATCCTCAAAGTAGTAATCAAATAATTTCTCTGGTACTTACACGCGTACAGACAGGCGTCGCACAATAAACTTCGGTATCCCAGAAACATTGTACACTAACCATTTTCCAGGTTCCACATCGCACGACACATTTGAGTTTTATTAACATATTTTGGGACACTCTTAAGACAGTAAGAAATCTGTCCAGAACCGCCTGAACTGGAGCTCATAAGACCCGAGAATGTTTCCGTCACACGACACAAAGATAACACATTATTATAAAACCAATACAGGAACTCACGGATTCCAAAAGCCCAAAGGTACTGTCCCGGATTATATTTCTTTTTGTTATTCCTGCCGTACTCCGAAGTTTGCCTGTCTGTGTCTCCTTTAGTTGCAACATTTAATTTAGGCTGACAGTCAACGACCCCCCCCCCCAATGGTGAGCTACAGGAGGTAGTTGTCAAATTAACCTTGTAAATTTCGGTAAAATGACAGCAAACCCAGGTTCTTGAATCTATGGGTTTTACATCATTAGGATTCCTCAATCGAGTTCCTGTATTAGTACAACATGTTTTTGTATGCAAATGAACAAGCTCGGTGCCAGGATTAGTTTTCTTTTAAGTGTTTTATTCCTGCCGTACTTCCCGAAACTTGTCTGGCTGTTTGGTATACAGTTGCACATTATTTAGGCTGACTGAACGACCCCAACATTCGTGCAGCTACAGGAGTCGTGACCTCGACTTCCTCCGCAACCGGGGAGCCACGAGCGTCCTAGAAGTCGTGCACGGCAACAGACTCGGTCTTTGTGGTGGACACCAAGAATAACCCGGGCGCCTGCACAGGTGGCGTTAGGACCCAGTTGAACTTGACCCTAAGTTTTCTCTGTCGTCTTTGTTCCGAATAATACTCCGTCAAACCTCTGCGTCAACTTCTAGCGTTTATAAAATACTGCCAAAACTCAACACTATAGTAAACCTGTGTCCCCTTTCTCTTAAGACCTTCTATATTGTTTCCTAATACTACACTAAAAATTCTCCTACCGGGTTGTGTACCTAAAAATTTTTTGTACAAAAACAATACGATCCTAGCATTTTCGAGCTAGGGCCCTGTTGAACTAATCTATATTATTTACTAGTGAGTTTCATCATTTAGTTTATTTAAAGAGACCATGAATGTGCGCATGTCTGTCCGCAGCGTGTTATTGAGCATAGGGTCTTGTAACATGTGATTGTAAAAGGTCCAAAGGTATAGCGTTGTGTAAACTAAAAATAATTGTATAAAACCTGTGAGATTCTGTCATTCTTTAGACAGAGTCTTGGCGGACTTGGCGCGAGTATTCTGGCTCTTACAACAGCAGTGTGTCTGTGTTTCTATTGTGTTATATATTTGGTTATGTCTTGAGTGCCTAAGGTTTCGGGTTCCATGACAGGGCCCTAATAAAAGAAAAACAATTAAGGACGGCATGAAAGGCTTCAAACAGGACCGTCACAGAGAAATATCAACGTGTAAATAAATCCGACTGACTTGCTGGGGTTGTACACGTCGATGTCCTCCATCAACAGTTTAATGGAACATTTAAAGCCATTTTACTGTCAGTTTGGGGCCAAGACTTAGGATACTCAAAATGTAGTATCCTAAGGAGTTAGCTCAAGGACATAATCATTTGTACAAAAACAATACGTTCCTAGCATTTTCGAGCCACGGTCCCAATAAAAGAAAATCCTAAAAATAAGGGACGGCATGAAGGGCTTTGAACACAAACACAAATATCAACGTGTAAATAAATCCGACTGACTTGCTGGGGTTGTACACGTCGATGTCCTCCAGCAGCTGGGAGCTGAAGGAGGCGTTGGCCCCCTCGGTGCTCGCCAGGATCTTCAGCACGTGCCCGTTGTCTGAGCCCAGAAACACAACCGTGTGGTTCTTATTGGGCCCCGCGGACGTGTCCACCGCAATCTGGGTCAACTTGAACCTGGATTTCAAAAGAGACACAGAAACAAAGGCTTTTATTAATGATCAGTTTGTAGAAGAAGTTGAAGATCGCAATTATTTTTGACTGTTTTTGAAATTGTGATATCATTTGTGACACAAGAGGGAATGAGCATTTTTGAAGATATAAAAATGATTATGATGTGATTTTTTAAAGAGGATCGGTCACAAACATGGATTTTTAAAAGTCAGTAGAATACAATTAGTCGGCCCAGGTATGTCTGCAACAACACAACACTTCAGTCGGATATTTACACATATGTTGCATTTACCACATTTTGCACAAACAACCATATCTATAATATCTAGGGAACAGTTGGGGGGGATGGAGTGGGAACGAGGCTCTTGAAATGAATGTTCCTTCAAGATGGCGTAACGGATAGTGGGCAAACAACACCACATGTGTTGGTTGTGCATCTTCCCATCGTTTTTTGTTTTGTCGATTCCCCATGATAAACAAAACAAACATGTGGGCGAATACTGAGCTCATTGTATTAAGCATCAGCGTGCAATCAATCACTTCATCCACCATCCCACTAATTCCCTTCCCTCCATCGCCCACATCCTTTAATCCATTCATCCCCAAATCCAGCCCTCCACCCACAGCCAGAGCATCGACCCTCCTTCCTGCTGCGGAGCCACTTTCCTCCACTCACCAACGTCTCTCTCGTTTTTTTATTTAGTGATATAGGAGTTACAAGACAAGAGCATACACATACAGTGTCACATATACACTGAAGACAATAAGGAGCATTTACAAGTATACAAGACAAATGAAAAATACATGAGACATGGAGTGCGTGTGCGCCTGGGGGATTGGACAAAAAGAGAGTAATAAATGACAAAATTATAATTAAAATGATATGAGTAACAATAGGCGCGTTCACACCGCAGTACTTTTCCCACAAAGGTTCATGAGAACTTAGTTCATCAGAACTCTTTAGTTCTAAGTACAGATCGCGTTCACACCGGAATAAGTCCCTGGAGGGAGGATTAAGTCAAATGAGGCGCGTGACGTCACTTCTTCTTCTTCTGCTTTGGGTTTACTGGCAGGCCCGCAAACAACTTTCAGCGGCGTATACTGCCGCCCGAAGTCCCCGACGGAAGCCCCCGGAGTTGGGGAAGGCTTCAGTAGGAAGGCTGCTGGGAACTCCCGCAGCTTCTAACTTGAAGCCTTCCGAGTAAATCGCCGAACGCGCGACCACCTCCTCATCTCCACCGCTTCCACGGTTTTATTTTGGTTGACATTAAATTAGTCCTCTCGCGTTTTCTGCGCTGGGCTAATGCTAATAATGCTAATAATGCTAATGCGAGGATATTAAATGGCGGCTTTCACAAAAACTTTTTGGGGATTTTATCTGGGCGTGTTTGCAAATCCGCGCGAGCAGTCAGAAATAGAAACCTCCCACGGAAAGTCCTCCTGCTCTCTAAGCAGGGACGGAGAAGGGGGAAAAAAGTTTCATGANATCCCTCAAAACTCACCTTTTCACTCTTGCCTTCAACTCCTAATCAACTAACCCCTTGCCCTTATTCCTCCTAGCTTAGCACTTTTACTTTTGTTGTTATTTTTGTTTTACTTGCTTGTAAGCGCTTTGAGCACCAGGAAAAGCACTTTATAAATGTAATGTATTATTATTATTATTATTATTATTATTATAAAAGTCACTTAAATTGGCTTGACACTGGAGAAGGTCAAGATAGAAAAGGCTCTTAAATGTGTTTGGTAGTGATAGAAACAGAATTATAATATTCTATAATACTTTGAAAGATCAATTCTGCAAACTTTTGATGCCTTAAGTAAACTTAGCTGATGATGCTTCTCTTACTTCTGAAGTAATACATTCAAACCAGGACTTTTACTTAAAACGGAAAACCAACAGTGTTTGTAGTTTTACTTAAATTAAAGTTCCTAGAATTTCTTACACCTCTGTTCTCACCTTCAACCTTCCAAACCCCTGCCCCCCCTCTTTAAATGTTCCAGTTCATAGATAGGTATGGTTTATATCAGTGGACTGATTTAGAAAGAGAGGCCATGAGAATGCAAAGTATTTCCTTGCTAACTTGCAGTGCTACATACAGAGATGGTCAGAGATATACAAGGTCAAAGTTGAAATAATTTGGACTGTTTGAAACCCTACCTCTCTTATCAGAACTGCGATTCAAAACTTTGTTGTGTGGCAGACCAAAACCCCTGGTGTACTCGATTACCTATTTATCCTTCTCGCTGTGAGACCCATCTTCTCCCTTCCTGACTCCTCTCTCTCCGTTGTGACATCACAGGAGGCCAGTGAGGCCCGCACAGCCAGCAGCCTGTCCCTGGCCAGAGTACGACCCAGCCCCATCACCAACGGGACCAACAAGCACTCTTCAGCCACCGGCACCTCCTCCTCCTCCTCCACCTCCTCCTCTTCACATAGCAAGACTCAGCGCAGTGCCTCCACCTATCACAGGCAGCGGCGACACAGCGACTTCTGTGAGTCTCTTTTCTAACGTCTTTATTCCCTCTTTCTGGGCCCTACATTCAGGAGACCTGGAGCCTGGAACGGTTTTCTCCTTGTGATTGTAATATTATCATGTCTTTTTCATACAAACATAACATATATTCTCACTTGGAATGCTGGGCCTAGCATTGTATGGACGGCGTATTCCACTGTTGATGCAGAATATTCCTTATACGAGTCTCTATGTGTCTGTGCTCTGCTGTCCTCCACAACAAAGGCGGGCCGTCCATGCCCGTAATGCACCCCAAGAGGAGCCCCACCAGCACGGGGGACCGCGAGCTGCGGGAGGGCCGAATGCCTTCACGTAAGGCCAGCTGCAGCGTGATGGGGAGCCACAGCCTCCCCCCCTCCAGCCCCATGGTCAGCAGTGCCAACAACCCCAACAAGTCTGAGATCCCAGACCGCCGCAAAGACATGACTGCCACCACGGTACGTGACGGATGTCCAGAAAACTCCATTTAGAAGTCTTTGGAAAAGGCAGAGTTTCTAATTTCTATTCTTGGTTCATAATCATCACATTTAGACATCTTCAGTACATATAACTACACTTTGTTGTCTTCCGGTCAACTGCGCAACTTTTGTCCTGGTTTGACTGTTTATAAACCATATATAGTATAAATGATTACCAACATCTGGGTTACACCTTTTAAGCCAACTTCATTCCAAGTCATAACTACATTTTAGGCAAAGCAAAAAAGATATTGACTATAGTTAGTTTGCACAATTTTGTTCAATGTCTTTTAAAAATCGACACAGCTATCTACTTAAAATACACATACTGTATATCATCATGTATGCTATGCACATATATATATATATATATATATATATATATCTGAGGAATTTATAAGGCCTCATTGGAAAACATTTAAATCAGATATGAGAAAAGATATGAGAAAAGACAATTTGGTGCTAGTGTAACTTTTTAACATGATCCTGGTGTATACTAAGGTTTAAGTGTAATGGTTCCACTGATTATCAAAGTGACTCTTAACCCTGACTTTTTTTTCTGCTTTACTCCCCTCTGTGCAGAATAACATCCCTGGAAGCGCCATGACGCGCAGGAACACGTACGTGTGCACCGACCGCTCGGGCACTGACAGACAATCTCTCCTGCAGAACGGCAAAGAAAACAGGTAGCGTTCGTGTTAGAGGGTTAACATTTATCAGTACATGTCACATAGGTAGATGAACAGGCAAACACATCATCCTATGGATCTGCCGTAAAGCAATGACATAGAAGCTACAATGGTAGATAGAAGGTGGGAAGATGGGTACTCCACTCATTTTGCCAGTAATATTTAGTAAGGAAAGGCAGTATTGTCCTAAATTGGTCTGTCATTAGGAAACCAAAGGATAAAAAACAATTCCTGCAACAGCTTAAAGGTGTCCTATCATATCATATCATAAATATGTGTCCCTGGTGTGTAAGGGAAGTCACAAAGTGTCAGAAAATAAAACCCTCTCTCTTTTCCTCCTCACCCACATCTTTAAAAATGGGGGTACAACGGAGCTGATCCAGATTTGTGTCCGATATGACGTAATATCTGAAATGTGGGCTGGCTTTACACCCACGGCCCTATCAGAAACGTTGCTATCAGAAACAATGCACAGCGTGTTTTGGAGATAATATGGTCTTTGTTTACATTGGCAAGCAACACTCAGAGCTAACCTGTACTGGAGAGAGTGTGTAAAAAATGTAAAAAAGCAGGAAAATAAAAAAAGTAACTCACCTTGTAGTATACCCGCAAGAGAAAAAGCATTTGAGATCCATACTGTTTCAGAAATAATCCTTCAAATGGTTTGGAACATGAGCATTTAGCTGGGAATCTGCAGGCAGAGAGGAGACCTCAATGCTTGCCTTGCCGTGCTCAAAAGGGGGCGGGCCAGCAGCTACAGACCAAGAATCAGCACTTCTCTAACAGGGCGGAAACAGAGGCATACTGTATGAGGGATGTCTAAAATGCACAATCTGTTTGGTATTTTGAGCAAAACACATCATAGACATGTTTTTTATATATTTGTATATATCTGAGACCCATAATATATGCCTACAAATAGCATGATAGGAGATCTTTAACACACGTTATTCCTCCTCCGTTCTCAGCTCCCTGAGCCACCGCCTGCCTGCAGCGTCTCCCTCCACACTCAGCATCTCCGCCGCCGGAGCGGCCTCCTCCTCTTCCTCTTCGGACCGGTGCCGTCTGACCCGAGGCTCCACCATCCGCAGCACCTTTCACGGGGGACAGCTGAGGGACCGCGGGACCCCGGTCTACTCGGCCCCGCCTACTTCACCCACCCTGTCCCACCATGAAGCCAGCCCCCTGCCACACGCCCGCACCAGGGCCACCTCCAACCTCTTCACCAAGATAACCTCCAAACTCACCCGCAGGTACAGGCCAACACACTCAGCACTGAGGCCACTCTCATGACTGCATTAAAGTAGAGCTGCACAATTAATGACACCGAACTCTAAATCACGATGTGATCTAGTGCAATATTTAAATCGTAGGTCGAATATTTGTTACAAGCAAACTATGTGAAAAAGTTATTCTGAATTAGATTGATGCTGAATAATGTCCCAGTCTACAAATCCTATTCTACGGACTTCATTAAATATCTTTTTTATCGTTTGGTACAGATCCTCTTAATAAATCATGCCAAGATCATCTTAAGATATATTTCCCTATGATAATGAGAATACTTATTTAAAAATGATCATTCCCTATTATTATTGTGATAATATCGCAATTTCAGCCAAAAATAATTGTGATTAGTTGTTTTTTTATTTATTATTATTATTTATATTACTCTATATATATATATAATTAGCTAAATGAATATGAAACTAGAGCTAGAAGATTATTATAGCATAAAGTCTTGAATCATGGGGGAAAGGCAATCCTTGCTCTCTTTAAAGCAGTGATGTCATGTAACTGAATTTCTAACTGAAACATACCAATACCACAGGGGAAAAACGATCATTGAATATAACACCTTGACAAAACATTTATTTGTTTACATTCATGAAAACAAGATTTTTCCCAGAGGAAGTATGCATGTTTAGTAGCCTCTGAGAATGTCACAAAGGCAATAGAGTGCAAATAAATCACCAAACAAAACCATGCAATTGTATGTATTTAGTAAGTAACAACATTTGTTTAAAATAACTAAAAGTATGTACTAACTGTACTCGAGTGCTATGTAGGCTATGCAGTGGTGTGTGGCTGTGAGAGGAGAGGCTGGTACCGCTGTACTGTTTCTGAAAATTAGAATTAAAGGCATTACATTCAGAATCCATATATTAAACAATCGACATTTTTTATTTTCACAACACTACTTAGAACAACAAAAAAAGATACATAAAGATGCATCTTTTAGAATCCTGGTTGGTGTTTTTTCATCTTTTATCTGGACAGAGCAAGGCTAGCTGGTCTTCAGTTATTGTGCTAAGCTAAGCTAACCGTCTGTTGGCTTTAGCTTCACATCTACCATACAGTCATGAGAGTGGTATCAATCTTCTTATGTAACCCTAGTCTACAATTATTATTTTTAAAATGTCAAACTATTCAGATAACAAGTTATGTTACGGCTTAAATAAAACAGTTATTATTTCACTTTCTAACTGTTTATAAGGGAGTTTTGGGACATGTAGTCTAGATTTGTACAGTTGACCTTATCAGTTGCTTCAATCCGTCCTACCTCCTCCCTGCATAGCTTTTATTTGATTCCAGGTTTCAAAATGTTCTTTTATGTTCACAGAGAGAGTGGTACAATTGATGTTTGCATTGCTTGTTTTGGGTAGATTATGCACATTTTCTGCTGATTCAGCTGCTCAAACTTAAAATATGTCATCAAAAGAATAGCGTTACATTAAACCAATATTTATCATATGAAATTGTGTAGCGTTGTTGTGCAGTTCTTCCTTTCAACTACAGCGCAGCCTGGATATGGATCCATGCTTATCAGAACCTTTGAATCACCCTGACCTTTCGGCAAGCCCTTCTGTGGCCCTGGATTATCCCCCCCCCCTCCCTGTCGTCATAAACACACATGTCTAATCTTATCAAACCTCAGCTTTGTCCTTGCCAATCAGCTGCTGCACTGCACTCTTCTCCACTACTTGCTCCCCTGTGATTCAATTATATTCTCTCTTACCCCGTATTCCCTCTTTTTTCCATCTTTATCTTCTTGTGCTTTCCCCTGTCATGCCATCAGGGTCAACCTTGACCCGTCCAAGCGCCAGGGCTCAAACAAATCAGTGTCGGGTTGTACTCTTCCACAAGGATCAAAAACAGTTAGTAAGTTCCCATGTCTCTGGCTTCTCTCTTGTCTGCCTGTGCCGCCCCATCTGTTTGACTGCGTGCTCATACCTCTATCTATGAATTATTGCTCGTCCGCATGACTTGTTAATCATCCTCATACTGTGAAGATCCCACACACTCGCTTACAAGCATGCTGCATTCAAGGAGGATTTGTTTGTTTTAACTCTCATTTTCAGGATGAGTGTCATTGTCATTACAGGCTGGCTTAAACCAGTCTTTATTGGTTGACGGGTTGAAAATCATTAAATGTTTATTACATGTGATGTTGAGTGGATGGGAGTCTGTGGTAAACAAGGTAAATGGACTGCAGATGTGCATGCTATAAAAACGTTGAGAAATTAATTTTCTGTAAGGTGAGGAGACTTTTTGGTGCTCGCTGTTGTTCATGCTTGCTTGCTGTAACGGTTTGATATCCACTAGTGAATGACATCTCATTGAGAGTTGTGGCTCAGAAGGCTCATTGTTCTGTGGGGTGTAACCTCTCACTCTGTCCGTTCCTCTACAGGGTCACAAATGAATCTGAGGGAATCAGGCGATTTGCGGTCACAAGGTCAGTTCCCATGTTGCAGCAGCATTAATAGAAGATAGATGATGGCTCACTTCTGTTTTAATCGTGTAGCATAAGTGGAGTTGCTAAGAAATAAAAAGAAATCTCAAAATCACACTGAGTCTTAGAGAGTAAATCCAATGTCCAGGCAATGGAATAGCTTGTGCATTTAATTCTCTTTCCAATAATCAAACAATAAATTAAAAAAAAAACGCTTTACCTCTTCTCCTGCCTTTGCATAAAATACTATTTTTTACCTGTTGCCCAAATCTGCCTTCAAAATAAAAGCATACTAATGAACTAACTGCTTTAATTAACTTAAATAATTATACTAAGAAACAGCAATACAATAAATGTTTGGCTTGTATATTGTGCAATATACAGATATGTTCAATTTCCTTTTTTTGTTACAATTTCTATATGTATGTTTTTTAACCGGCTCGTACAATACTTTAATATGTTCACTTACTTAAACAAAAAAAATGCTACTTTATTTTTTAACATGGTGTTCTTATTTGCTTCTATTCTTAATAACATTTGCTTAACTTTTTATTTCATAATTAAGTCTGCTATTTTTCCTTTTGCCTTTTTATCTGCCTTGGACACTGTAAATCTCCCTACTGTAGGACAAAGGCTTTTTGATTCTGATTGGATCATACAGATCAATGAATATCTCCAAAAATAAGCATCAAACATTTTTCTGATTTCCCCCCCTCTCCCCAGTTGCCATCTACCTGGGTATCAAAAAGCGTCCGAGCCCCGGGCCGTCGGACGTGGCTGGGATCTGAGGGGGGGGGTGCGGCGGGACCCTGCGGAGGTGGTTCTGGCTCTGCGGGAGGCGGCACTCGGCTGTGGCTGCCAGGTCCACCACGCCGGCCCCTTCCTGCTCTCCTGCAGCCACGGGGTGGCGGGGGGCCGTGTTGCTTTCGAGGCCGAGGTGTGCCATCTCTCCACAGGCACCTCGGAGACTTCTAACGGGGTGCGCTACACGAGACTCTGGGGGACACCGCTAGCTTTTCGGGACATTGCTACCCAAATCTCCAAGGACCTTGAACTTTGAATGGAGGATGTGTTTGAGTGTGTGTTTGAGTGTGTGTTTTTGCGTGAATGAGGGTGGATTTGACTGCGCTAGGGGAGGGGGGGTTGGAAATATTGGAGAAAATAATAGGCGAGGGGCTGGACCCGGAAGAAAAGACTTCTGTCTCTTTCATGACTACCCCCCCTGCACACACACAAATACACACACACACACACACACGCACACACGCACACGCACACACCAGGCCCGTAAAGTCACACAGACTGAGGGCCCCCCCCTTCCATCCAATCAACCCCCCAGCTCAGCCAGCTGAGCACCTGCACCTACTGGACCTGGATCAGATGGATATTTTTTATTGCTACTCTAGCCATAATGACTCTTTATTTTGTTATTTATTGCTCTGGTCTTTGGTCTTTGTTCACAAACGTCATCTCCTGACCAGCCATCTCCTTCTTTTAACTTCTTCTTTTATACGTCACAGCATTTTTCCACTAACCAATGATTATATGCTGACTCGTCATCACCTAGGGACAACAAGATGCACAATCGCAGATATGGTCCGACTCAGTGATCACACAGTAGCCACACAGGGTTGCATTGCTCCGATTAGCGAACATACATCAGTGACGAGTGCACTGGATTAAGGTCAGTGGGAGAGGGGTGACAGGCCTTTGAAACAACCAATCACAGGGGCCTCTTCCGCTTCATGAACCAATAGAATGCCGTTACTCCATCATATTCACTTCTCTGTATGGGACTAGCAGACATTTAAAATTGGGAAACAAACCCCATGGTTTGCAAAAACATTATACAAACAAGAAAAAGGGAATATTTTGGTGCCATTCTTTCTACACTGATATCATCATTATATTATACAGCTGATTTAGCTAAATAGTATAAGGTCAGAAGGTGGAAGAAGTACTTACATCTTTCACTATAGTATTAATAGTATTACCAACATCTACTTAAAGTACCAAAACTAACAGTACTCATTCTGCAGATTGACCCAGTAACTAAATATATTAAATACATGTAGTGGAGTAAAAGTACACCTTTCACCTCTGAATTGCAGTGGAGTAGAAGTACAAAGTAGCATATAATTGAAATACTGAATTAAAGTTAAAGTCCCTCAAAATTGTATTGAAGTACAGTACTTGAGTAAATCTACTTAGTTACTTTACACCACTGCATAGTGTTGTATAAGTTCAATACCATTGTCTGCATTGAATGCCTTTTTTCTCTTAAAGACTAGATGCACAGGTGCTGCTCTCTGATTGGCTGGGTTCATTGTCTGTCAGTGCCGGTCAGTAAGACTTGGTTGAAGCATTTAGACTTGATGACCCCTCCCCCCTTTTTCATCTCATACCTTTCTTCAAAAGCATTATACTGCAGATGTGACATACTTGAGAATATCTTTCTAAACAGAAGCCCCCCACTGCTTCAGGTGATTTAAACAAATGTGGTGGTTGTGCAGACCAAGCGCTCGCCAAATCCATACGCTTTCCCTCCCTAGAATAACTGAGGTACTGTAGGATTGGTTTATTATCAGTGGAATTATTTGCTCTGTGCCATGTGATCCCACCTCAGGCTTTTCAGTATGTTGATGGGAAACACCAAAAGCAAACAGCGAGACCTCTCAGATCACACACCTTTACACACCCATACACAGAAACATGCACTTCTAATGTCCACCCTCTTCTTTCGGTGTCTGGTCTGCAGGAGGGGGGTGAGGGGGTTCTGAATCTGGTAAGGCACGATGAAGGCAGTGCACAGTGTTTTCTTCTTGTTAGTCCTGTTGCCTTTTAAGTGAACAACCCCCAGCGCCTTCATATTTAATGTTAAAGAAAACTAGAGAGTGACAGAAACACTGAGACGGCTTTCTATTCTCCCTCCCTGTTTTTTAGTGAATAACGTACTGTGATATTTACGTAGGCTACAGAGATCATGTTGTTTGGCTGCTGATTTACTGTTAATACTATCTCTCAGTTGTGGCTTTGCTCATGGTGACCCCCCCCCCCCCGACTCCCTACATTTAAAGGGACGCCAACCTTAGCTGTCCACCACCTTGGTATGTACCACCGACCTTTTTCTATCGTCACGATGAACATGTGGCTCTCCTCAGCTCTTCGTTTGAGAAACACTCGGCCATCATCCACAATCTCACATTGTAGACCCATGTATGACATCTCCTCAGTCCTGTTAGTGTGTGCTGTTTCATGAAGCCCAACAGGGGGGGGCTGTCAACCTGTCCCCCTCAGGGTGAGAAGCAGACACCCATATGGACACCAGGAGTCTGTCCTTGTCCTCTCCCTGGACGTTTCTCATTGTGGTGTATATTAGCATTAGGTAATATAGACCTCAATGCACTTTGCTTTGACTTGAATCAGCTCCTTCCAGTGTACCTGTACAGGTAATACCGAGAACTAGTCACTGGAGGGCGCCAATGTCTTAAATGTGAAACACTTCAATTTGTGGATATTTGCACAGGTACCTTATTTATTTTTTAGAATTATATCATTTTAAAAAAAAAAACAGGATTTATATCAGTCAGTTGATGGCTGTATATAATATATGAATATAGTATATATCTTAGAGCTCAAGGTTTATTTATAGCTAGAGCAAGGGAAGTAATTCTAGTTTAAAACAGATTCTGTCAGTGACAATGGGAAACAAAACCAACCTGCAATCCTGCATGACTTCAGAGTTTGGGTTTTAGGGGAAAAAATTGAACATGATGCACACCTAGGATTGGAAGAGACGTTTGTTTTATAGACATGAATTGATACGAGGAAATTATGCTAAATGTAGCACCTGGCCCTTCCCCGCTCACAAAATCAAACAGGAAGGCTGTGGTGAAATGCAGTGATTTCACTCCACCTTGTTTGCTAGAGGATAGGTTTAGTACACTCAAGATGGGTTTCTGAGTTCTGACAAGTATTGAGACATGCCTTGGAAAGTATCACGATGTGCAGTGTGAAGATAAAAATATTCAGTTGTAGATTCAGCAAGGACCCTTACATTGGGAATAAATTGTGCCGTTAGCTTCTATTCCAACTTAAATTTAAACCGATCCCAATAAGTCCCTAAAATGTTGAGTTGCATTCAAGCCATAGAAATGTCACATCACTGTCTCCTGAAGGCAAATATGAACAGGTTGTTCGCGAAAACTTGCAGTGGAAAATATTGAAGTGATAATAGCTCAACAGTAAATAACTTAGTGTAACAACTCACTCTTAGTATAAGACGGATTTTCTTAAGGTGGAATCTACTGTGAAAAATTCTTGAAAATGTTGTTGAGTAAACGTGTGTGTACCTGCTCAGAGACAGTGTGTCCCTGGTCTGGTTTAGATGGTGGTTGGTACAGTATTAAGACCCCAGGGGGCGCGGTATTTAACATGCACTGTCATTTCAAAACTGATTTTGGAAACAGTTAATGTTTTATGCAAAAGGAAGAGACTGAAAAACACACGCAGTTTGACCTGTATGAGTAATTTTACACTGCTCTGCTGTTTAATTCCTCCCTTCAGAAACAAACTGTAAAGTTAGATTGAGTGGTTGTGGTTTATAAGGAAAACATGGAGCTGAAGATTAATAAAATTCACTGATGTTGGCATGTTTTTTCTTTATTTTGGTGTCTCAATCTGAATATTTGGTCATAGCTTTTGATATTCTGGCAAAGTAAGTATTAATATATGAAGATTAAACTGTGACTGTTATTTCTTATTTTCATGTTGCCACACAAATCATCAAAATTATCCATTTAGGTGTTTCATGGGGTACTTTTTTTATTGAGCAATATGAACAGCGTCAATAATGTTTACTTTTCATAAGAAAAAGTAGGTGATACCACGTCTGCTAGGCGAGCCCAGCTCAGTGGAGGCTGATCCCAGGATGTTACCAACCAACACAGGAGAACGAGAACAAAAAGAAGGATGGCAGAGGAACCAACAAGCTGGAAGGAAGACACAGGCGAGCAGAGTCAATAGTCTCTGGTGAGCTTCTGTCTCCTCTGCACGCCCGTCAGCTGGCTCCATTGCACATGAATGGTCATGAGGTAAATGCAAGATTGTCCCTCTTTACTTCTGGGCGGGGATCATGCTGTCGATAGCCTCTCCCTTCTCCAGCTTCTTCTCCATCTCAACCATCAGCTTGACACCATCAACCACCAGCTGCACCTGGGCGACCTCGGAGGAGCCCAGACGATCAGCGTTGGAGATGTCGAACACACCACCCACGGAGGCTGTGTCCACACCACCTGGAGAGGATGAAGAAAAGAGATGAGGGTCAGATTACACATCCCAGAATGCTGCAGAATGTCAGATCCTCATGGTTCTGCCACACTGAAAAAACGTTTTCTTTAATGAAATGTATTATGTCACCAGATTTCACATGACTATTAGGTTAGTTGAAAGGAATAATATTAAGTAGAAATAAAAAATATTTAGTTCAACTTAATAATATTGCTTTCAACTAACCTAATACAGTGATGTGATTTGACATAATACACTTAAATAAAGTAAACCTTTACATTTTTCAGTGCGGACTGAAGAGTGGAGGATATTTGTACCTGTGCCGCGCTTCTGCAGACGCAGCCTGCTGAGGATCTCGTCGAACTTGGCGTGTACGCTCAGCTTGGGGAGCTTGACGTGGACTCCACCACGCAGGCCGGTTCCCAGGTTGGAGGGGCAGGTCAGGATGTAACCGAGATGCTCGTTCCACATGAAGCCGTGTCCGTGCTTCTTGAAGATCTCCTCAATCTGGAAAATGAGTAAAGGGAAGAGTCAGAGAAACATCCAGCAGTGATCCAAACTCAGTTTGTTTTTACCCTGTTTTTATTTATATCTACCTTCTGCAGGCCAACGCAGAAACGCTTGAAGACCTCCCTCATGTTGCCGCCCTGCTGCATGGAGATGACACGCAGGTGATCCTCCTCGTTCACCCAGACCAGGAAGGTCTTGTTGTCGTTGTGCCTGCAAGAAGATGGATGCAAAGGATCAGCAAACAGTTGTTGGAGAAACATAATCCTTAATGAGAGTTTCAAGTGTTTCAAAGCTTATAACTTATAACTGGACCTTTCTTCATACTGTACATTTTAGATATATTTTGAATATAATATGCTATTCCTTGCGCACTTAATGTTAATAATATCCTCATTTTAAATGTTGTTAGCTGTAATTTGCCCCTTCATAGTGTTTATTTGACAGAAAGTCTACTGATTTTTGAACTTTCACTGTCAACGTGTATATTTTACTTTTTAGTTCTGTTCTATTTTGAGATGTTTACATTTTATGTTTGTTTATTTTCTACTCTTTATTGTCACATGTGCAATTCCTTGTTTTAACATGCTGCTGAAAACAACATTGGTCACACTCACATGATGCCTCTGCCGTCGGGCCAGTCACGGGCCATTCCAGCGCAGGTCAGCAGGGGAGAGACGGGCTTGTCGAACAGGAAGTGATCGTTGATCAGCTGGTCCTGCTCGGCATCAGTCATGGACTTCAGGGGGTAGTACTTTCCCTTGAACTCGCCATCCAGGCTGGTCAGAGCTGCAGAGACAGATGCACAGTTGTAACCAGCTGTTGTGATCCATCTAAACAGGAAAGACTAAGCAATGGAAGCTTCTTCTTAAATTGACATGACATGATCGAGCATTCAAAGAAGGGAAGCATACATTTCTCTTACCCTCAAAACAGCCCAACTCTGATCCTAACCCAGCCTACACAACCATTTGCAAATGTACTAAAACTAATAATAACTCACCCTCAACGGACAGCTTCTCAATGCCTCTGCGCTCGCCACGGCTGTTGTGGGGGGGCAGGGTGAAGCCCTTGATGCTGCGGCCAGTACGCACACGGCTGGACAGAACGTAGGCGGGGTCCAGGTCGTCACCACCCTAATGAAAATGATCAAGTGTGATTATGAAGTCAAACAGGCCACAAATGTACAGCAGCCAGTGAGCATCACCAGGTGATAAGTTACTATTAGTCTTTTTAAAATTGTGCAAATCATTTAAATGATCCCGTGTAGTGTTCAGTTTCACATGCTATAGTCTTATCCATCTAGTGCTTGTTTCTCACCTTCAGGTTCTCGAAGTTCAGGTCGGTCACGTGCTTGTCAGTGGGCTTGTATCCACCATGACGGTCTGAGATGATGGGGTCCAACAGATCCTTGAAGACCTCGTAGGACTCCTCATCACCAGCAACGCAGCCAACAGTCATGATGAAGGGGTGACCTGGAGACATGGAGGAAAGCAGATGTTAGAAGATGAGACTGTGAGACAAGTTTCAGGTTTTATTTGGTCATTTTGTTTCATCTGAATGTAGGTGTCTCTCTTGACTCACCGGGGTTGTCGACGCCAGTCTGGATGACATCATCCAGGGTGTAGCCACTAGGCGTCTGCCTGTCTCTAATCTTGCCGTACAGTTCCTTGGTCAGCACCTTTGCCATATGGTTGTTGTGCTTGGACAGATCGGGGAACTCATCCTCAACCTTGTAGTTGAGTTTGAAGTTGTTGTGGGTGTTACCGAAAGGCATGATTGCTTTCTAACACTGCAAAGACAGGAAAAACAGAATGAATTAAGTTGAACAGATGTTTTGGATTATGAAAAACAATTCATTCTAATCTGACACTAACTGTGAAGGTGATCTGGACATCCACAAAAACAATACTTTGGAGTTATTGGCTATTTTGCAAGACAGCTGCAGAGGTTTAGTGGAATCCGAGGAATCGTGGTAACAAGTGTCACTCAATTCTCGACGGCTCAGATGTCCCATTGAAATAGAGTTGGGGGTGGAGCATGTGTTGGCTGTGTATTTTTAGCATCAGAACATCTGACGGCATACCCATTTTTTTTTTTAAATGTCCTTCACATGTAAAAGAAGTATTTGAATTCTTACACGCACAACCCCAGTTCTCCAATTTACATTTTGACACATAAATATGCAAGTGTTTGCCTGTCATGTTTTAGATATGCATCCCCTTTAAAAAGCCCTTCTTTGTATCACTTATACCAACACTTACTGTGCATATTCAGACACTTAGTGCATCACTTAAAGTTGTCACTCACTATGCTGAACTTCTTACAGAAGTCTTAGCAGCTGCCCATTTCTTCCCTTCAGTCCATGCCATCATGCTCCAACCAGATTTAATCACTTCTGATTAACTTTACATTTGACTGGCGCATGCAATGACGCACGTACGACATCAAATGAAATACCATCTGTAGCGAACTGCAGTGTAGCATTTTGGTAATAAGCCAATTTTTTTAACTAAGTAACATTTTTGATGCAGTTATCAGCTCTATCGCAGGAGCAATTATCTTGTACGTTTGAATCCCAAAATGCAATCTTTAAATGTGACTCTTAAATAGCTGAAATGTAATGACTTAAGTTCAGGCAGTCTCTTACTCTTATCTGTGAAACACCTGTCCCCATAAATCGGCGTCCAGAGGAAAGAACCATTTGCAGGGAAAATAACTATATGTATTGATAAGTTAATACACCGCAATGCAGCTACATCTAATTTAAAACATCATGTTCTTGCATATTTTCATTTAATATCATCAATCGGACGAAACTGTCCAAATTGAATGACCTCTGATACCCAGTAGGTCTCTATATCCTAAAAAGAATCATATGGATGCAGACATCCGGAAATGTTGTGCATTTATCCTTCAATTTCCTGAGGGTCTTTGAGTTCCAAACTCTTCATCACAGAGGTAAAAAGCCAAAAACAATACATTTTCTCCATCTAACTGTTTGAATGGTTCTCCGAATACGTCTCCAAATATCTGCACCACCTCCTAACTACAAAGGTATAATCTCTGTGATATTTCTTTACCTTCACAGCAGACAAGAAAGAGGTAACAATCCTTGGGATCAGATCCTGTTCACCACAGTCAAAATAGGGTCACCCAACTCTGAAAGGCTTTGCCCCCTGTTTATATACCGGGAAGACCCTCAGCCATTGGCTGTCCATTTTAGTGCCTGCCGCGCCCTTATTGGCTAGACCCACCGTACTGAACACTTTATGAAAGGGACGCATTTACATCTCAGACATCCAAGACGGCCACTGCTGCTGTACCCTCACCCCCCCACCCTTGGCCCATAGATAACACCAAATGGTGGTGTGTATCTGAGCAGGGGGGGGGGGCCAGGGTTCACAAGGGTAGGTCAGAGGTGGTGTTGGGGGGGACTTGAAGGAACTGAAAAAAGCTGAGCTTCACTTCTGGCATTGGAGATCATGGGTCTTTGTGTGAGGCGTGAAGGGGGAAAGACTGTAAATGGATGCCATGTTGATTTGCTGTTCAGATAAATACTTTATCCAGCAGATGGAAATCAGAATTATATCTGACTAATACTGTGTGTGGCCGGACAAATGTCAAGTATGACATTTAAAAAAAAAAAAACCTTCCCCAAATGTAAAGCGTCTTTGGGTTCGAGAAAAGCGCTATAAAAATACAATTTATTATTATCTATTATTCTGTCCACTTCATGGATACCCTTATGATGATGAGAAATTAGGGTTTCGGTTAGGGTCCTCCTTGATGATGTAAAAGAGTAATGATCCTCTGAAGGAAGAAGGTCAGTTTTGCACTTTGCTAAATATGGATACACTATGCAACAACAGCAGCTTATCACCAGTTGTCAAAATCAGTGAAAACAGTATCATCAGTGTGTTGATGATTGTTGCGTTCTGAAAACCTAGAAATGAGGCAGTCTAACCCTTCTGATGACCTCCACTCTGCTGGTCTCTTCCGGAAAGAGGAAGAGAAAAGAGACCAAGCTATTGTATTGGATAGTACTAGAGGGTACTGTTTTGTTTGGTGTTCGCACCCTCTCTATTTCGCCCCCCACACGCTCAGTCGGGCTCCAATTGATATGGCAATTATCAGACATTGAA